ACAACGTCAAATGAAAGGATTGATGCTTTTAACAAGTCTCAACCGGAGATTCGTTACTTTTTTTTGACGATGCTTTAAGTATGACGAACCCTACAAGTTATTTCCAGCGATACAGGAGTCCACGTAGCCCGCGCGGACTACCCTGGACTTCTTTGTGAGCCTAAGCTTGCATCATGTCACACAACACGCAATTCCAGGGTAAAATGGGCGAAGATTCTGTTGTCCATCGAGAATAATACCCCTATTCGGATTCAGTTTGGCGTGGGGACATATCTTGCTCCCCCCCCCCGAGGGGAGATATGTTCGCTGATGACAAGCTCGAGGATATACGAGGATGATGTAGTCGGCAGAATCGGTGGGTTGATTATATGTCCACTCATGACGTCGAACTGCAGGATTCATACTCTATCCCTTCCAGCTTGGGACTCCGTGTTTTGTCCCCAGCATGACGACAAATCCCGGTCCTGCAACAGAAGCGAAATGTGGATCGTCCAGCCACAACCGCTTCCTGTTGGGAATTTCTCATTTTATGGCAACCACGGGTATTGTAACAGATAGCGAACGAGGATGCTGATGTGTCAATTGCATGTCCAGTGCTATCCGTTTGCCTCGAACTGAAGAAGGAATTCCCTCGACTCTCTGCTTAGGACTGGAGACAAGCTCAACCCTACAAAATACATATCAGCTAGCAGGAAAACACTTCTCTGAGAGCTGTCGAGCTTACCAACATGAGCTCAACACTTCTGGTATGTCGACAAACTTTGATCATCTACCCCCGAGAGAATTGTCTAGAAGTAGAACGATGCGATAAATAGAGGATGAGAATCTGGCGTGTCCCGGTAGGTTCACTAGTCCTTTACAACGTCCAACGAAAGGATCATCTCACCCTTGACCTAGCTTAGCCAAGGAATTGGGACTTGCTTCTGGTGACGACCGTAACCATTGGCTTCGCGCAGAGGCAAATTACGCGACGTGCTTGCGACGAGGAGCTTCTGTTGGGAGTGTCGGAGGATATCCAAGAATAGTGGTGCGGCTAGAGAACGAGAAGTCTGTGTATCGGCATGATTTGTCCGCTGTTCATTTACAAGGTCAAACTAAAGGATTGACGCTTTTGACAGGAGCCAGAGACTCATTACCTTTTTCACGTATAACAAATCGCGCAAGTTACTTCCAACGATACAGGAGTCCATGCAGCTGACGAAGACTACCTTCTTTATGAGCCTAAGCTTGCATTATCCACAATATGCAACCCCAGGCAAAATGGTTAACAATCTCGAACCTTCCAAACCTGCTACCGCAGATCAGTGGTCTAATTAACGAGTCGGCGAGAACTTGGTAGGCGTTTTCTCATGTAAACGTGGAGATCGAGAATGCAGGTTTGTCGGTGACAGGTACATTATCCAGTTATCGCCTCGAACTGAACGGATAACATGCATCAATTTGTTCTAGACATTCGAGATTTAATCCTGGTGTGAACTTGAACGCAAGCCTTGGTCCTCCTGTAGAGATGAAATATGCACTAGGTGGTGACAATTGGCACCTGCTGAAAGAGTTTAAGGATCCCCACGAATAGTACGGCGCAGAGGGAACAGGAACTTTTGTGTGCCGAATGTGAATTGATGTATGTCCACTATTCGTCTACCAACGTCGAACCGGAGAATCAACGCTCTTTACCCATTCAGCTAGGAACTCGTTACCTTTCGTTCAACGACAAGATCGAACAATTCAAATAAATCGTCCCTAGCAGTACACTCATCGGTCTTTGTCCCACGCCGCCGATAAAAAAAATACGTTGGACCTTCGTGAGGCCAAGGTGCCATAATCCTATATAGCATGCGATTTCAAGCAATGGGTCGGCGACAGCCCTCTCTAGTGCCTCCATGTGGACATAAATATGGAGTCAAGCGTCGTAGGTTGCTTACTCTCTATGCAGCGTAGGCTGGCTGACGCTTGGAGCTTTCTTGTAGCTGCACCGAGTTAGTGAATGTGGTCCTGATATCGGGTCCGAGTTTTCATGCGTCGCAAGCCTTGTCAAATATGCCCACTGAGTGATATGTAGGGTCGTGCGTTTTGTCCTGCCCACAAAAGCATTCAATTCGCGAGCGAAAGTATAGTTCGAGGTCATCTGATCGGTTGGTCTCTGCATGTCCTCTCTACCGAGATATATACACCCTTTTGCCATGGGTTAGGGGACCGGTTTGAGCACTCACTGATTATCTGTCTCACGGAAACGCCGCCCCTCGTATGCCTTTCTCGTGGTCGTTTTCACAGGTTAAGAAATCATAGTATGGAGAGAGCTGTTGGAGATATAATGACAACCATTGATTTGTTGTCCAAAGGAAGTCAGCTTAAGTTTGGTTGATGCGTTTAAATAGGTCGTGCAAACTCTTCTCAAGTCTATCACCACAACACAATTCGAATACACGTCTACAGCCGCGCCACCTTTCACACTCCACACGTCTTTCGCGGCTTGACTTGACCCAGTTTCGCCGCCCCGGCAGATTCGCCTTGTTTGTCGGACTTTCATTAAATGACATATTTCTCATTACCTGTCACTGCTACTTTACTACTGAGCCCTTGCATCGATCGTAGCAATTCCCAAGTATAGCTCGATACTTTTGTCATGGTCTACTAGGACTGACGGTGTCTAAAAGGGATGGCTGGTGGTCAACGCTTTATTGTGTCATTCAGGGAATATTTGCTCGAGGGACTCCTGAGAAGGAGCACCCTTGAGGATGCCAGCTTACGAGACTTAAATTGTTATCCGTTACCCTCGCAGATGTGCTACAGAGACCGGATGTTGCCTACTAGCCCGATCGCGACGTCATCCCGGAGAGAATTCTGCTCTTTGCCTGGCCTATGTCGACGACGTACGCTGTTTAAATGGAACGAATATAGTTCCGTGGTTGGAAGACTCATATCAAGGTAGGATTACTGCACTTCTAACAACTAATGAAATTCCCACATTACGACGTCATTGCACAGTACTGGTCATCATCACGACGAGTTTTCAACCCCTGAGATGCGTTAACATTTAGTCGTTTCGTATTTGAACCTTCCCGAACTGAACGTTTGCGGCGTTATCTCTCCGAATAGATTTTCAATTTCCTGACGCCCTAGATCGGACTGCATTGCATATGCCTTATGTTGCCGACGAATGTTAACTCTGTACCTTTAATCCACTCGTTGAACCACTTGGTTTTTGCATCGGAGTCGAGACTCACTCTTCGGGCATAGCGCTAGTACAATTCGTTTCATTCCCGCAAGTGCCGGAAAAATCGAGTGAGCGAGGGATTGAATTTCTCGTCTTTGAAGAGTCCGCCACATAGGAAGAGTCCGTGACGCAATGTGGCTAACGCTAATGATCTGCACTGTCCAATTTTGGTAGATGTCAGCCATCGAAGGTTATTTGAAAGAGCCGTCATGCCGCGACGTTTCGAAACTGACCTTTCTTCTCATTAACCTTCCCTTTCTCTACAACGCCGAGCACGTCTTCAATCATCGAAATGCGCCTTTGTGTCGTTCTGTCGTCCCTGCTCTTTGTTTACGCTTTTTTATGTCCCCGTCGAAGCCAAGGTCTTATTAAGCGCCAGTCTTGTTCTGGCAAATTACGAAACATTTACTCGTCCTTTTGGCGATAGTAACGAATGAGAACGTCTGAGACAGGTTCAGACGTCCCGCAAACATAGGCCAAGATAAGGCATTCACCTTGATGGCACGAAGTCTCAACTGCCCGAAACGACTTATCGAAGGAATATTTCTACTTATAACAGGATCAATGTATATCAAAGCTTACGATGGCGCGTACCCGAGGATGTACAACGCTTTACGCCGGACCATAAAGGACGACATTATTTGTGGCTCAGCACCAGCCTGGTGAAAACGACGACATCAGCAACCGTTAATATCTCAGACAAGGACAGCGCTGTATCGCACGGTATTCAAAGGTCAACGCCGAGGAGTCACTTTTGAAAGTGAACAACGAAGAATCTTTCAACACATACACGTATCTATCATTCCACTTCTGCACTCTTCGTTGGCACTACTAGTCACAACATCGACAACGTATGCTCAATTTTTCTCAGGGTATTCAGCTAGAACATACTACTCAACTGATTGGACTTTCGTCTTCCTTCGAGCCCGGGTAGGACGATTGAGCACTGCTCGTTCCTTCCCATCCGATGCTTTTTCTACAAAGTCATCGTTCTGAGGCACGGATCGTGGCAAGTCCGGCGTTCACAATTAGACAGACAGTCACAGGTAATCTGGAAGCGGACTCCCCCTTCCTAGCATGGGGCCCGGAAGGGAGAAGTGTCCAGGGATTCTCGCCGTTTGTTTTACTGAAATGCGGGGTTGAGCAGCTTAATGAGCCGCGAGAACGCTCGTTTAAAGGTAAATCGTTTGTCTTTGCGTGCGTTCTAGGTTTGCGTGTGCATTGCTGCAAGGTTATATATGATTTTCCAGAGAAGAACCGAGAGTGAGTGTTGGTGACGGGTGTTACTACCATTTCGGGTGCGTCATCCGAGTCGTCGTTGTTGGACCTGTAATCTTCTTCCCCTATGACTCCAGAACCTTTGTAGGTAAAGATGAATCGGGGAAAAAATAGATCCTCGGGTTCTGGACAAAGTTGAAGTTGAAGTTGAGGCGGCATCGTGACCGATGCACGACGATGAACTGTAGCGCTTGGTTTTTATCAGACAGTCGGAGTATTGGTTATGATGATCATGCTGAAGTTGACTTCTTTTGGCTTGTCGTCGAGTCGACAATGGATATTCGCGATGCCCAAATGCGACGAGATTGATCAGTAAACGGAGTCACGGTGGGTGATGTGACTTTGGTATGCGCACCATGGTTTATAAGGAACCAGTGGTGTACATACAATGACACAGAAATACGCGCCGGAGGACGAGGAGGATGAGGATATCTGGATACATATAGGCAAGGTATCTCAAGCAAAGTTCTTTTGAGTCTAGCAAACAGCAAGAAAATTGTCGAAAAAGTGTCCCTAGGAGGATTCGAACTTCCGGCTTCTCGGAGCGGGAAACCACAACGAGATGATTTAACCACTAATCGACAGGGACTACAATTTTAGTAATTACTGAGGCTATATGAGTCCCGGAGAACGTGCATCTCTAGACTCCAAACATGAGCCGCTCTGCTTCAGCGTCGACTCATCTTTCGTTTTTTGTCGCGTCCACGAAAAGGTACACCCAGGTCTGAGTTGTACTTCTAATAACGGCCGAAGATGCACTTGTACAATTTGACGCTCCAGCCGCCCACCGCCACTACGCAGGCCATTGTGGGCAACTTTTCTGGAGCCAGGCAGCAGGAGATCATCGTTTCTCATGGAACACGGTTGGGACTGCTGCGCCCAGATGTTCAGACTGGAAAAGTCTCGACCGTCATCGCGACGGACGTCTTTGGGTCCATTCGCTCCCTCTCAGCTTTTCGTTTGACTGGAGGAACTAAGGGTGAGCTGTTGTGCGTAACTATTTTGCCTGTATAAATTCACATAACATCCTCTTAGATTATGCAATCGTAGGCTCTGACTCTGGACGTATCATTATTCTCGACTATGACCCCAAAACCAGCACTTTTGTGAAACTGCATCAGGAGACATATGGAAAGTCCGGCGCACGGCGAATTGTTCCAGGACAGTACTTGGCGACCGATCCAAAAGGTCGTAGTGTTATGATTTCGGCTATGGAGAAAGCAAAACTTGTGTATATCCTCAATCGTGACGCTGCGGCAAATTTGACGATCTCTTCACCACTAGAGGCCCACAAGAACTCTGCTATCATCCATCATATAGTTGGCTTGGATGTTGGCTTCGAAAACCCGTTGTTCGCTGCGCTTGAAGTCGACTATACCGAGTCAGATCAGGACCCGACTGGCGAGGCGTTTAACAATGCAGAAAAGGTGTGTGAAATAATGGTTGACCCTGTTTGAAAACCAAACTATTTTATAGATGCTTACTTATTACGAATTGGATCTGGGTCTGAACCACGTCGTTCGAAAATGGAGTGAACCTACTGACCCACGTGCCAACCTTCTTGTCCAAGTCCCTGGAGGGCAATTGGCATCCTCAGACCGATATGACGGTCCATCTGGTGTTCTTGTGTGTTGCGAAGACCACATCATCTACCGACATATGGACGTACCTCAGCATCGTGTCCCAATACCTCGTCGTAAACATCCCCTTGAGGATCCCGGTCGAGGCTTGATCATTGTTGCGGCAGTGATGCACAAAATGAAAGTGAGTCAACAAACCAGATCATTTCTCTTCTATCTCACATCATATATTAGGGGGCCTTCTTCTTCTTATTGCAAAGTGAAGATGGTGATCTGTATAAAGTTACAATTGAACACGAGGAGGAGGAAGTGAAATCATTAAAGATCAAGTACTTTGATACCGTACCTGTTGCTTCAAGTTTGTGCATTCTCAAATCTGGCTTCCTTTTTGTTGCGTCTGAATTTGGCAATCAGTGCGTTTTTCACATATCCTCTCTCTTGGCGCACTGATAGCCTTTTGCTAGCTTCCTTTACCAGTTTCAGAAATTGGGTGATGATGACGATGAGCCCGAGTTCAGCTCTACAGACTACCCGAACTTTGGCATGGAGGATCCCACTGCGCCACTACCTCATGCCTACTTCCGTCCCAGGCCGCTAGAGAACTTGGTCGTCGCTGATGAAATTGAGTCGCTTGATCCCATACTTGATTCAAAAGTTCTCAATGTGCTACCAAATTCTGATGCCCCCCAAATTTTCGCGGCGTGTGGTCGCGGTGCACGAAGTACCTTCAGAACATTACGTCATGGGCTCGAGGTCGAGGAGTCCGTAAGCTCAGAGTTGCCAGGCATTCCTAATGCTGTCTGGACTACGAAACAAAGAGAAGATGGTGAGAGAAACTGCCCAATAAATCTGAATCTATTGGAATTGACATCTTCCTTTTCCCAGATCCATTCGACTCCTACATCATCTTGTCCTTCGTAAACGGAACACTCGTCTTATCAATCGGCGAAACGATAGAAGAAGTCCAGGATACTGGCTTCCTCTCTTCAGCACCTACGCTTGCTGTGCAACAAATTGGTGCTGATGCCCTCCTCCAGGTTCACCCTCATGGTATCCGTCACGTTCTGGCCGATCGGCGGGTAAATGAATGGAGAGTACCCGAAGGGAAGACAATTGTCAGCGCAACCACCAACAAGAGGCAAGTCGTCGTTGCTCTGAGTTCGGCCGAGTTGGTGTACTTTGAGCTGGATTTGGATGGTCAACTCAACGAGTACCAGGATCGCAAGGCGATGGGAAGTACAGTCCTGGCTCTGAGCATAGGCGAGGTCCCGGAAGGCAGACAGAGAACACCTTTTCTAGTACGTGCTCCATACTTCGTCGTTTATATCTTGCTAACAGCATCTAGGCTGTGGGTTGTGAAGACCAAACTGTCCGGATCATCTCTCTGGACCCTGAGAGCACTCTCGAAACGATCAGCTTGCAGGCACTAACAGCCCCACCCTCCTCTATCTGCATTGCTGATATGCTTGACGCGAGTATCAACAAGTCGCAACCAACCATGTTCGTCAATATTGGTCTTCAGAATGGTGTCTTGCTCCGAACTGTCCTTGACCCGATTAATGGTCAACTTACCGACACACGAACTCGGTACGTGTTCTCCCGTCCCTCAGCAATTGGTTACTAATTTGTCAATGCTCCTCAGTTTCCTTGGAACACGTCCAATACGACTGATTCGTGTCCAGATTCAGCGCAATCCTGCCATATTGGCTCTCTCTTCCCGTTCATGGCTCAATTACACTCATCAAAACCTCATGCACTTTACCCCACTCATCTTTGAGAACTTTGACCATGCGTGGAGTTTCTCTGCCGAACTCAGCCCAGAGGGTCTCATTGGTATCGCTGGAAGCACCCTACGGTAAGGGGCAACCACTTTTATTTTTATTACACTCTTATTTAACGACTCAATCTAGGATCTTCCAAATACCGAAACTCGGGACAAAACTGAAGCAAGACTCCATTCCTTTGTCATACACCCCTCGAAAATTCATCACGCATCCCTCAAACCATTATTTTTATATGATTGAGGGTGATCATCGGGTCATGGGAGAGGGTGCTGCAAGTAAACGCCTTGATGAACTAGTATGTTTTCCAACAAACCTGATGCTCCTTGGGGACTGATCTGCGTGCAATCAGCGACGACAAGGCAAGACAATTGACGATGAGGTCGTGAATCTGCCTCCCGAAACTTTCGGCCGACCAAAGGCGCCTGCAGGAACTTGGGCGTCGGCCATTCGAATCATTGACCCCATAGAGGTAACACTTACAACGACAATTACATTTGCCAGACTGACGTTTGTCTCTTCGTAGGCTAAGACTGTCGCATTGATTCCCCTCGATGGCAATGAAGCTGCATTCTCTCTAGCAGTGGTCCCCTTCGCTGCGAGGGGCGGAGAGCTACATCTCGTCGTGGGCACTGCGGCTGATACCCTTATATCGCCTCGTTCATGTTCGAGTGGTTTTCTCCGGACATATCGATTCACGGATGATGGTGCTGGGCTCGAATTGCTTCACAAGGTATCTCCCTCACGTCCTCGTGTTGCAACCAATTAACCATCCTCGTCACCAGACGGAAACAGACGATGTTCCTTTGGCACTTCTGGCTTTCCAAGGTCGTCTTGCTGCTGGTGTCGGTAAAGCTTTGAGGATATACGATATTGGAAAGAAGAAGCTTCTACGAAAAGTTGAGAACAAGGTTTGCACGTTCTTTCTGTCGCTCGGTAGCATTAAATCTCTAATGGGTATCTCAGACGTTCTCTTCTGCACTAGTCTCGCTTGCCACCCAAGGCTCACGCATCATAGTCGGCGACATGCAAGAGTCAATTCATTACGCTGTCTACAAGCCGCCCGAAAACCGCCTTCTTATCTTCGCTGATGATAGTCAGCCGAGGTGGGTGACTGCCATGACGATGGTGGACTATAACACTGTCGCAGCTGGCGACCGTTTTGGCAACATCTTCGTGAACCGGTTAGATTCCAAGGTATCGGAACAAGTCGATGATGATCCTACTGGCGCCGGTATTCTCCATGAGAAAGGCCTTCTCATGGGTGCACCTCACAAAACAAAACTCCTCACACATTACCATGTCGGAGATATTGTCACCTCCATCCACAAGGTTTCCCTCGTTGCCGGCGGCCGTGAAGTGCTTCTCTACACCGGTCTCCATGGCACGATTGGTATCTTAATACCTTTCATTTCCAAGGAAGATGTCGATTTCTTCTCGACGCTCGAGCAGCATATGCGGACAGAGCAGAGCAGTCTGGTGGGCAGGGATCAGCTAAGTTTCCGAGGCTACTATGTCCCAGTGAAGGCGACTGTTGATGGGGACCTATGCGAGACTTATGCGAGGCTACCTGCTGCGAAGCAGAGCTCCATCGCTGGTGAACTGGATAGATCAATCGGCGAAGTGTTGAGGAAGCTCGAACAGTTGAGAGTAACGGGTAGTGGGTTTTAGCAGTATACAGCGAATGCTTTCTTTGTTATGATTTTGTATCCCATAAGTATTGCGATTTTTTTCTGTTGCAGTTGTGCGAGCTGGATAAGGGAGTGTGTGATCCGACAACATGCACGATCTTATACTGCCATGTTGAACATTGGAGCCAGAACTATATTCAAAGCATCGCGCCCTCAGTTGGTTTCTCTGCCCACTAAAACCTTCTCGAGGTCTCTTATCACTATCAAGGACTACAAGGTATCTAATATTCCTTGAGATAAATGAAACTCCTCAGGAAACCAACACGTCCACTATGTAGTATACTGCACATGCAACTGCTCAAGGAAAAGGGCGTAACGGAGAGGTGAAGTCTAATGGACTTGAGCTCAATCTTGCCACGCCGAAGGAGCTTGGAGGAACTGGGAAGGGAGAGAATCCAGAGCAACTGTTCGCGATGGGATATGCTTGTTAGTGACTACTCATTCTCTCTATTGTCACTGACTCACGGGTCTTTCCTCTCCAGCTTGCCTGCTTGGTGCTATTCAATTTGTAGCTGGACGTATGGGCAGGGATGCCTC